GGTGCTTTTAAAAGCACCGTTTTTCATTTGTTTATTTTTTTAACTCTTCACTATAATGTTATTCTTATACATTTTTCTAAGGTCCACATTTGTGTGTCCAAATTTTTTATAATATTTTTGCTGCTGTTAACACCAGAATTTTCCCATTGTGGGACAATAAAGGGATTTTCTATTCTATTCTGTTCTAGAAAACATGCTCCCACAAAGAGCTCTGACTCATCTAAGTAGCAGCTTTTGCAGTTTTTAACAAAGTTTCTTTGTCACACTTAAATTCTTGTTTGGAGCATTAGGTGCCAAAAACTTGCTTTAAAACAGATATTGTCATTCAAGGTCAAAAGCTCAGTAATGGTTGCTGGTCGCACAGCAGCAGCTGTTTCACCTACAGGGGTTAAAAAAAAAAAACAATCAATATCATTTATACAGAACCCCGACTCTGCTCGTCCTTCAAAACTTTTCCTTTCTCCTTCCAATAAACTTGTCATTATCATAGAGTGGGGTCATTTGGAAATCTGCTACCATGGCAGGTCTTGCACTTTCCATTTCAGCAGATAGACCCAGATGTTTTTTTTAGGTGGTGTTTCTGTAGTAGTTAGAGGTGTACACTCCAAACCCTATTAAGAAGTAGAAGAAGCAGTAGAAGAAGCCACCTATTCAGAATACGTCTCTGACTTTTTAAAAGGCTTTTGATTTGATATTAGCCAGACTGCTGACACCATTGATAAAGTTGGCTGTTGAGCATGGATTTAATGGATAATTATCAAATTATTATGATTATCCAAGTCAAAACTGATTTTTAAAACGGTAAATATCAGAAGGGCCCAAAGATTTAAAGTTAGAGTTATTTAAACTTGGCAGAGCTTCACTTTTATACTGACCAAACTTTGCCATCAGCTGGAATATTAACCTTTATTTCAGAAGAAAATCACATTGAGCTGGTTGCTAAAACACTGTAGATCTGTATCATTGCAAATGAGATGTGAAAACACAATTTCTCATTAAAGTTAATACATCAGAGCGTATAGCTCTATCTCCTTTTCAGACCATATTCTTTATCAGACTTAGACTGAGCTAGTCTCTATTGCTTTTGCTATTTGCATTTTTCTGCATTTTTCTAAAATACTACATTAATAAAGGCCTGTTTTCATGTCAGTTGTTGATTATTTGGCTTGTTGTAAATTTGAGTGTTTAAATGTGGAAAAGGTGTCAAAAGAAGTTCTACTTCTTTATAAGGACTTTATATTTGGCTTCAAATATGTAGAATTTATTTGTCACCTGACCAATAGTTTCTCCCCATCATTATTATAAAAGTAAAAAAAAAAAAAAAACATATTTTTTTGGGATAACCAAGTTTTTTTTCTTCTTTAAAATGGATCGTAGGAATTCTGCATATGAAAAAAAAAAAGGGATTTTAAAGATGCAATTTTTTAAAGGTCAGTGGGGGCGGAGCATGCATAAAATAGCAGTTGAATTAAGTTTAGTTTTAATGAAACATTTTAAAGTCCTTTGGTTAAAATACTGATATAATGTTTAGAATTGAAATAAAACAAATACTTGGAGTAGGATACTGATTGTTCATGGCCTCTGAAGTCTGAAATATCCCTGTGAGACCTCCATGAAATGTTTAACTTGTTAAAAAGGTTTTAGGTGTGAGTAAAGCTACTGTTCTTTGTAAAAAAAAAAAAAAAAAAGAAAAGAAAATTAAATTAAAATTTTCCAAGTTTGAAACAATTCGCTTCCCATTCAGGAAGCTTTTTCAATTCAGAATGTCAGGAATAGCGTTGAGTTCGAGATTTTATACGTTAGCCCAACAAAACCTTGTTTATGGTTTAAAAAAAACATGCAAATTGAAACAGCATCCAGGGGATTGTTTTAATTTTCTTTTTTTTTAATGACTATGACCTGGATGGCTGAGAATCTTCACCAGCATACTGTTCTTTGGTTTCATGGAATAATATTTCTTATAATAATAATTTTAAAGTTATTATTTTTTAGGAGTATCAGCACCAGCTCTTGATTTTACATTTTATCTTACATCTTTGCTAAGCATATTTTTTTTTATCATGACTGGAAACATTTCTAGATTTCTTTTTTCTTCTATCTTCTTTAGTTAGAGAAACTGAAGTGTACAGCTGTGCTTTTCAGACTTAAGTAAAGTTTAAGCTACTCTACCCACCTCTTGTTGCAATAGGATGGCTTCTATTACTATACTAAAGTATTTTAGTTGTAATAAAAACCTGAAAACTGGTTTTGAACATTTTCAATCATTTATATGCATTACATTTAAATGACATAATTATTATTATAATTCGGATAATATTGTTACTTTTATTTTGGAGGGGGTTTCACCTTTCTTTATGAGAACAAAGCATTTTTTTTTACATTGTTCTAAGAACAAAATGTCACTTGGTCACTTCTTGTTTTATTCAGGCATTTTATTTTCAGGAACACGCAGGAAAACCTAAACCCAGAGGACGAGGTGGACGAATTCTTGGGCAGGGCCATCGACGCGCGCAGCATCGACCGCCTACGCTCCGAACACGTCAAAAAGTTCCTGCTCACCTTCAGAGAACCCGACCTGGAAAAAAAGGTTAGGCCACACAAACGGTGCCAGAAAATCAGCAAATAAGTGGTTGTGACAGGCCGTCCGCAGTGTACAAAGAGCTTTCTCCTTTCTGTCCCTGAAGGAAAGAAAAACACAGAAGCTGCAGTTTTTCTTTGAAATTATTAGGCTTAAAGTCAAAGGAGGAAACCTGCTTTAGACATTGAAGGACATGTTTTTTCCACATGATTTAAGTTTAGTTTAAGGTTCATCTTCAACAATTCAATCTGATGTATTACAAATTCTGCTGTTGTCTGGGCCATGCTCACATGGTGGTTCTAAGTGTCATTTCAATAATAAATAAAAAACTCTTTTATTTCATTTGGTTTGGCCTTAGACACATATAGAACTACTGACCATTTTTCTATCAATATCTACTATTAGTCAGCAGGCATCACAAAACGTATTAGTAAAAGCGTAAACATTATAATAAATAAAAATAAAAATCTAATTTTATATCAAAGTTTCTCTTCCCTCTTCTCAGTACTCCAAACAGGTGGACACCAGGTTCGGTGCATATGTGGCCTGCGCCACCCTCGTCTTTTTCTTCATCTGCTTCATCCAGATCGTCATTGTGCCAACGTGAGTCACTCCTCTGGCATGCTTTGATAGTACCTGACGAATGTGAGCTCGGGTTCTGCATGTTTGCACAGGTGATCAAGAATACTAAAGGAAAGTGTAAAAGAAAAAAATAGTTGAAAATGTTGTCCCTTTTCAAAATATTCCAGCTTTTTTTTAAATTGTCATTAGACTGTCACAAGTACAGAGCAATAAAATGAACTCTCTGTATGTAACCCATCCTCTTGGGGGGCAGTGGGCTGCCATTATGCGGCGCCCGAGGAGCAGTGTGGGATTAAGGGTCTTGCTCAGGAACCCACAGTGGCAGTCTGTGGGAGTGGGGGTTTTACTCAGAACCTCAGGATTCCAAGCTCTATGCCCCTTAAGAAAAAACAGAATATGCACTAAGTAATTGGTTGGATCTTTTTTTTTTTCATGAATTTCTGCATCATTGTGGCATGGCATGGATGTGATCATCCTGTGGTTTTGTTGGTTGCTATGATAAAAGCCTTTAGGGGGCATGCACCAGTGTCTCTCACCTTCCTCTTGACGATACTCCACATATTCTCTTTAGTTTTCAGATCCGACCATTATGCTAAATAATGAATCACAGAATCACCACTAAACCTACCACTGGTACCTCTGGCAGTGTGGACCGGTACAAAGTCCCTCTGGAAAAAGAAAAATCAGTATCTCCATAAAGCTAACCAGCAGAGAAAAATGATAAAGTTCATAAAAATGTTGTGGCAGCTGACAGCATTGAAGTTTGACTTGATGAAACACACAGGACCAAAACCAGTAGATGCTGGTCAGTGCCCTCTCCATATTGTCTTTCTACTCCTCATTCAGATTCTAGAGCCTTAATTTTCAGATGCATTAAAAGGTTACATAAAAAGAGGACTTTTGCACATCTTTTGAAAAAAAAAAAAAGTTCTGTTTTATTCTCCTCGGCCAAAATATGACGCTGCCGTTATTTTAGAACCCCAGCCACTCTACATGTTTATCTCAAAGCTGGCTGTTATTCTTGTAGCATGTAGTTTTTTTTCCCATCTACATTTTCTCCTTCCTCCCAATTTTCCCTCAATATTTGATACTTTTTCTATTTCTTTCCTTACATCCTAACATTCTGAGAAACTATGTTTCAGGTTTTCTTTAGCAGCAACCATTATCATCCAAAGGACGAAAACATATGTAACTTCTAAAGTTAATTACTGAAATGAATCCATGTTTAAATGATGTTGAATCGTTTTTATTGAGAGCACAGAATCATAAAACTCTTTTCTACACAGTTAGTCTCGTTTGATGAAAATATAAGGAATCATTTACTGAAGTTGGACATTTTGTGCATCAGGCTAAACCTAAAAACAGAAAGTTGCATCTTATCAGCAGTAGGAATTTAAGGTATCCAGTAGGGAAAAAAAGGATAACGGCTAATAAAGAGATAAAAAACTGTAAATTAATTCCTGTTTCTTTTTTTTTTAGTTCTGATCTGATGATTGGCTTCTTCATCACCTGCTTTATCATCCTCACTGGCGTGATGTTCATCTCAGCTGTTTACGGCTGTTTTGGGGTAAGATTTGTTTGGACATCCTGATCAATCTAACAGTTGTGAACAGAGAATAAAATGTAGCCCCCTCTATTAGCTCATTATAAAACTTTGTTCATCCAATCTTAAAAATCTGTAACTTGAATTTTATGTTATATTTCTAACTACATACAGTATTATTGCTTTTTATGTAGCTCTTTTTTGCTGTATTTTTCACTTAAGTTCCTGCTCTAAGTTAGAGTCCAGTGTCAGATAGTGTTGGTTTCTATTACTTTCAGAGGGGTTTAAAAAAAAAAAATCCACTGGTCTTGGTTTCCAAGTTTGAAGATGTTTGACTTTTTGGCTTTTTCAATTCAAAATGTGATGACTATGACCTGGATGAGTGAGAATCTTCACCGGCATATTGATAAAGAGTCATTGTTATGATGGTTTAATTGGTCCTGGAATTTAGATCTGCTTAATATACAGTAAAAGGAGTCTGTGTAAGACATCTTTATGATGTCTATTATGTCCTGAAGTTAGAGTTTGTAAGGTCTGATTCTGATAAGATTAGAGGGGAAAGAACAAGCTAATTGAACTTTTCATTTTTCTAAAAGTTTCTCTGTTTGAAATAAGACACTTGATCATACCATCAGACCTGTTCTGTGAGTTCTGGTAGTTATCAGTTGCGCTCCTCTCAGTGGTTACTTTTTAATGTACCCCGAGCTTCAACCGAGTTGGGAAAAACTGCATTCCCCTACTCTGCACCTTGGGGATGGAATAACCTCCAGAAAGAGCTCAAATTAGAAACTCTCGTGTCCATTAATGAATTTAAAGCAACCATGAAGAATGTAGTGATGGAGATATGTGCTTGTTTTTCATGAGATGCTCAATGTGTTTTAACATACTGCTCTGATTTTATTATAAAAAATGTAATATGTTGTAAATATGTATGAACTTTCTGTGGTTTGGCTGCTACCTTGGCCAAGTCTGTCTTGAAAAAGAGATTCTGAATCTCAATGGGACTTCCTGGTTAAATACAGGTTAAATAAAAAAATAAATAAATAAAATAAAAAATAGCATTTAAAGTCCTACAGAGGACTGAATATTACAGCATTTATAATCTTGCTTCTATTCTCGTTCCATTGCTGCTTATTCATGCATTCATCTTTAGTGGAATTGATTACTGAAATGGTGTCCTCACAGATCTGCCTAAAAGGTGGATCAAACAGCTGCAGCTGATCCAGAATGTTGCTGCCTGCATCCTCACTAGAGCTGAGAATTGCACTGGCTCCTTCTGTTAGTCTATGAATCACTGAAGTGCTTAGCATCAAAATACATTACTGACTCGTTTTTAGTATTTAGTATATTTAGGATTATCTGTTCAGACCCCTTCTGGCTTAAATCCCCTCTGGATATTCAGAACCAAATATGGGAAATTGGCTTTTAGTTCTAATGCTCTACGAATCACAAATAAACTCCCACAAACTGTAAGTCCACTTCAACTCTTAAGTTGCTTTAAATAAAGTAAAAAAAATTGTTTAGAGTTGCCTTTGACTGACTTATCTAAATATGAGTCCAAAGTGTCTTTCTTTTGTTTTATCAACCATTTTTATCTTTAATATAATAATGTAATTTTTCAAGTTCCCTTTATGCCACTAACAACCCATTCCCATGAGTTTTTTTTCTCTCTCACTTCATTCCCCTGTGCTTATTTTGTTTCATCTACAGTGAAGGCATAAGCGAATTCTCCCTATAAAGTTAAAAGCCAATTACTGCAGGAGCATGTTGTTGGATTAATCTTTGTTGTTGGATTAATCTTTGTTTTTGGATTAAGCATTTGTGCCATCACACGCAACACGTTCTTCTTTTAATCCAGTTTATTATATTTTTCCCCAGATCTTCCCAGTTCCTCTGCAGACTCTTTCCAAAAGTATTGTTCAGTCCAGAATTAACAGCACCTTAGTTGGGGTCTTTACCATCATCGTCGTCTTCCTATCTGCTTTCATTAACATTGTAAGTTGCCAACAATGATGCTTACGGATTTGTTGATGACGTAATTTTTACACAGTTAAATAGCTGAGTGTTAATTAGCTGAGTCCACTCACTAATCATTGATTTGGTTCAGTTCACTTGCAGCAGTCACAGCCTGCGGAGCTGCATCCAGTCAGAGCTCAACATCAGCCAGGACCTTGTGAATGCCTGCCATGCTTTCCTACTAAACTACAACCTGGACACACAACACGGCTCCTGTGTGGATGATGCCCTCATCTGCAGCTTCCCTGAGGTGCTCATCAATCCGAGGATATGTGTTTGTGGGTGGGTGGGTATGTGGGTGTGTTTTACCTACAATGTGGAGGAAGTATTTTGCAAAATAAATATCCTACATGTGGGGATTTGCAGATACATTCAACTGGTCCCCATAGGGTAAAGTTGTGTCCTTTGAGTTGTGGTTAGTGTTAGTCTGTGTGTGGGTGGAGGGTTTCTGATATGGGCAACATGAGGGAAAACCTTTTTATCCCTCAGCTGTTCTCAGAATCAGTTTCATGTCAAAGTGGCCCTGTGTTTACTCTGCAACATGGAAGCAAAACTAGTGCTAACGGGGAAAACACTTCTAAGCCTTGCTAGTAGGACTGTTGCTACTTATGCACCACTTGTTTCATGCAGCTTCAGGTGCAAAAACCACCACTGTTCATTCATTGAGATTTTCTATACAATAATCTGACAGAAAAAAGTGTAACAGGAGGTTATAGGTTTGTATATAACTCACAATACAACTAAAGATGAAAAATTATTACATTCAATGAAGCACCATTACTCCAACTACCATGTCCCTTTGTTCCAAAAAAAGAAAATTAAAAACAATCCACTGGACTTTGTTTCCAATAAGATGTTTCGCTTCCCATCCAGGAAGCTTTTTCAATTAAAAATGTCAGAAATAGCGCAGAGTTTACCTAAGCAATTTCTCATACTCACGCATTATTCCGAGGGTGTCTTTCCCAATATTGAGTGCAATATGCCGGTGAAGATTAAGGTCATCCAGGTTATAGTCATGACTTTGACCTGGATGACTGAGAATCTTCACCAACATGTCCCTTTATTTATTCTTCAGGAGAATGTTATTCATATTTTGTTTAATTACAGCTATAAACTTCAGAATTTTATTAGGATTCTATATGATAAATCAATAAAAGTTCAGGGTTCTTTGCCAGGTACTGCAATTTTTACGAACGTCTACACCAGTACCTCGCTCTAATTGCATATGCAGGCTTTCCAAGTAATTTATGGAGCCCTGTCTGCATATTATATATTATTTCTGTGTTTGACCATGATTTTTGGTCTATTTGTTAGTAAAGTGAATCATGTTTTGATAATTATTATAACAAGATTATGTAACCAGAGGTATAATGTTTTGCATATATGCAATCCGTATAAACGGAAGTAATGGGATAAAAGCAAATGTATTGTCTAGCGGAGCCTTTTTTTTTTTAAGGCCAGACTTTTGGCCTACAGTCCACCCAGTTCTTTACCCCAGAAGCGATCAGCAGTGATGACAACATCCTCTTAAAGAGATGGTTTTCAGATATTACTAAACTTCACCTCTTTTTATTGTAATCCAAGTAGAGATTAATGCATTTTCTTTGCACCATGTTTTTTTTCTCCCACACTGTTCACATATGATCACTCCTGCACTTTAAGTAATGGGAATGTCATGAAAGCTGTAGAAAATGAAATTTTGTTTTGTATATGCAGAGTGTATACAGAACGACAATAAAAGTTGTCTAAGTCTAAAGATCTACAAAAATCAGTTCAGAGACTCTTTCCAGATAAACACAGAAAGAAAAAAGTGCAGGGATGTTCGCTTCCTAATGTAACATCGGTAGAGTGATGCGTTACTACACTGTGTATTATCTGACAGATTGTGTAAATGTCACATATTTAATCTAGGTGACTTTAGCCTGGTTACAGATATCCTATTTATAAACCCGGTCCTTAGAAAGAGTAATTGTGTGAGACATTGTGTCTCCTTTAGCTGCACGTTATCTTTTCGTAATGGCTTTTCTCCAGCCTTGTTAAGGCCTGAGGTCATTTAATTGTACGCCAAATGAAGATGACTATTTTTGCACTAAGAAAAGGGATCCTACAGCATTTTGTGCTATAATCCTATTGATATTATAGGGAGATCAAAAAATATTAGGATTTGTATCTTATAGCCAGCAGTGGCTGTAGGCTAAATTTACGAGGGGCCATAATTTTCCATGGAGGCACAGAACAAAGAATAACAAAGGGAAACAAACAAAAAAAAACTGTTTCAGACCCTTGATCTAACAGATGACTATGATCTGATATTTATTATTTAAGTGAATTGTTAAGGTGAAATAGGGAAACACTAGATATAGTCTCTACTTTAAGCTCATGTCATCCTAAGAAATTGATTTAACATCACTGCAAAAACTGATATAAGTAAAAATTGTCTTTAAATAGGTCTTTTTGGACTTTTTTCCATGCAGCTTAATGAGATAATCTCCCTAAGTAATGAGTATACTTCACCTGATAATAAGATATGCACCATATCTTATAATGTAGTATGGTTCACTCAAAATAAGTTAATAGAGTTGTTTTTGTTCTTCTTTTAAAAGTTAATCATCCTATAAAATAGCCATAATACAATAGTTTAGATCAAATCCTATTTATGGTAAAGAATATGGAGACGTGATATTTTATATAAAAAATAAACATTTATTTCGATTATCTGTGGATAAATCCTCTCTTTCTCTGTGTCCTCCTCAGTACTTCACATCCTGTGTGCTTCTGAGTCTGCTGGCCTGCTCCGTCTTCCTCCAGATCAGCAGCATCGGGAAACTCTTCCTCATGCTCTTCATCGAGCTGCTCTACCTTCTCATAATGGAGGTGCCTAAAGTAAGCCTGTTTGACAACCAGGACCTGCTGGTAATAGCAAACGCCATAAACTACACGTGAGTGTTACCGTCACCTCTGTCCAACGCTTGAACCTTAGTGTGGACCCGTCCTGACCGCTGATCAGCTCCTCTCTGTTTCTCTCCTCACAGCAAACCAGATAACAGTACAAGGTGAGATAGTCGGATGTCCTCATTGCTCCATCATCTGTTAAACCGGCAGCGTCGTTACCTCACTAATGAATCTAATGATGACCCCCTGGCAACAGATGCTTGTGCTAACGAGCCCAGATTTATAGGACAGCTTGTTTGTGTCGGATTCCTCCTTGGAGCGTATTCTAAATGTTGGGTAACACCTGTATCTCTGGATTGTTCTGCTGATTCTTACACCAGCCTGCCTGTTTGTTCCTCCAGCTGCGTCGTTGACAACAAGGTTCCTCTGAAGATCATGACCCCAGTGGTGATCACAGTCTTCGTCCTCGCCCTTTACCTTCACGCCCAGCAGGTGGAGTCAACAGCCAGGCTCGACTTCCTCTGGAAGCTGCAGGTCAGTCTGAGCTGCTGCCTGGACTGCCAGGAATCTGGTTTTCCTGCCGGTTCCTTTAGGAACAGGGGAGTTAAACTGATTCAGGAAAGGGCCATGTGGCTGAACCAGTTTGATCTGCTCTAGAAGATTCAGTTTGTAACTTCTAGTAAAAAAGAAAAAAACTTAGCATAGGGCTTTGGTTGGATATTTTAGAAGCTGAAGTAGCTGTGAAGCTTTTTTTCTAAATTGTCGTTTAGTTATAAAACACCTACTGGTATATCCTACTGTTCCAATACATTCTATACATTTAATCGTAGTTACAAAATTTCAGTTGATTATTCAAATTTGGTGCGAGTAAATCCAGTTTATTGCACCAAGTCGGTAATTTTTTTATGCTTTATATCAAAGCATGTGAACTGAGCGCTGCTCAATTCCCGCTTCCCGCTCAATCATTCGCTCTGCCGCTCAAAGTTGCGCCAGGACGCTCCGCTCAAAATCCGCTCCACGCTCACCTTAATTTTCCTGCCGCTTCGGCGAAATCGCTCCACACTCGCTCAGATTTTCAGAAGAAGGCATTTTCTGACATTTCTCCTTCATGTAATTATGCCAGGGCCCTGAGACACACAGCGTTTGATTTAATCATGTGACCGATACACGTGTATTGTCTTATTTAACTAGCTGTTAAATTATCGCACTGTTTTCCAGCTGTGAACGTAACACCTCGCTATTTAGGTGTTATTTGTCCAAAAAAATCACACTGAAATCAAATAAATGTTATTTTACAAATTTTATATTCCAACATTTTTAATTGACGTAAGCGGAGCGAAATCCTCGCTCCGGCCTTTGAATTGAAAACCACTCTGCGCTCCACCATATTTCTTCCACTCCGCCTCGCTCACCTGCTCTGCTTCATATTGAAGATGCATTTTGCAGCCGTACAGACACTGGCTAAATGTTAGAAGCCATTTGCTGCAACCTACTGGTGATTGTAGACAGAGCGGAAAAACAAAACTACTTAAATCACCGATCTATGAGTATCCTCTTTGTTAAAGAGAAACATATAAAGAAAATGGCAGCAGAAGCTATTTTGGGGAAATGGCTAACCATGATACGATATAAATCTTTTTGTCAATCACTTCAATTTAGTTCAGTTTATCTATATGGCGCCAATTCAGAACACATGTCATCTCAAGGCACTTTACAGTTCATCAGATCATACAGTCAAAATGATTAAAAAATTTCTATCTAAGGAAAACCAGTTGATTGCATTGACTCAAATGCAATCCCTCACACTAAGCATGCTTGTAGCGACAGTGGAGAGGAAAACTACCTTTTAACATGAAAAAACCTTCAGCAGAACCAGGCTCACTGAGCGGCCGTCTGCCGAGGCCGACTGGGGTTCAAGGAGACAGAAGCAGAGATGCATCACATTTCCTGAGATGGAGATTTTTCTTTGAAATCTGACAACAGTTCATATATAAAAATGCAAATTTTTTAATTCCTAAAAGAAGCGCAATCTTGAAAGATTTTCACTAAGAATAAGAAACTCCTTTTAAATGGTAAAATCAAAGTTGTTATGCCTTCTTGTGATGTATTAAAAAAGAAGCCAATTTACAACAAACATGTTAAGGCACTTTAAAAAACAAAGGTTTAGTTTATTATGTGTATGCACTAATTAAAAGTCAGTTATATCTGTTCTAATTGAATCCTGTTTACATTGCAGTTCAATTAAATTCAGCTCATAATGTCAGTTGAAAATGGATATCCACATTGTAGCACCTTACATATAACTAAAACATTTATACTAATTTGTGTGTGAAAATGATCTGGAGGTGCATCAGTATAATACGGTATTAGTGCTAATTTTGTTTATTTTATCTAAAACCATATGTTTGTGAAGTTGTATCCATTTAAAATTAAGCCTGTAGTGTAATGAGTGAAACAGGAAAGCTTTGCTCCCTCGACTTTAAACTCTCATCTGGAAATGACCTCCAGGCCACCGAGGAGAAGGAGGAGATGGAGGAGCTGCAGGCCTACAATCGGCGTCTGCTCCACAACATCCTGCCCAAAGACGTGGCCGCTCACTTCCTGCAGCGCGAGCGGCGCAACGATGAGCTCTACTACCAGTCCTGCGAGTGTGTGGCCGTCATGTTTGCTTCCATTAGTAACTTCTCAGAGTTTTACGTGGAGCTGGAGGCAAACAACGAAGGGGTGGAGTGTCTTCGGCTGCTCAACGAGATCATTGCAGACTTTGATGAGGTGAGCATGAATGTTATCAGGATCTGAGTCTACCTAATGGTTTTCCAGCTGCATAAAGTCACACCAAGTTCCAATGTAATTGATCAGCTGGCTTCACAGCATGTCCATCTGAATTTTTTTTATATTTATTTTATTGTGACATTGGAATAGTGTCAACTTCAGACTTTCCTGCTCTTGATAGATCATCAGTGAGGACCAGTTCCGGCAGCTGGAGAAGATAAAGACAATCGGCTCCACTTACATGGCAGCTTCTGGTCTCAATGACTCCACATACGACAAGGCTGGGCGCTCGCACATTCGCGCAATGGCCGACTACGCCATGAGGATGATGGACCAGATGAAATATATCAATGAACACTCCTTTAACAACTTTAAAATGAAAATAGGTTTGTATAAAACCGTTGTAACGGCAGACAGGAGCCTCATATTTTCCACTGTTGTCTGCCATTGCTGTTCTAGCCCAACCAATCCACTTTGACCCACAATGAATCATGGCAAATGGAAGCATGGTGGATGATTTTAGAGGAGGGTGTCTGTTAAATTCAAATATCTACCAGGTTAGTTACAGTTTTCAAATCAATTAACTTTAATGATATTGCACCAATACTCAAAACATGTCATCTCAATGCACTGTACAGAGACAATTCAACCAGATCATACAGTCAGACTGGTTCAGAATATTCTATCTAAGGAAAACCAGTTGATTGCATTGACCTGCCTTACCGGGCAGTGGGGTGAAGCATTCCGTCACCGGGTCAGGTTTGGTCGCTCCGTCCCCAGCTGGCTCTGGACCCGGACCAGCCCTGTAGCTGAGTGCTCGGTTTGAATGCCCGGTCCGATCCAGTCAGCGGCCCAGCAGTCTTCGGTAAAATGCTCAGAGCAAATGAACAGCTGAGCATCAAACTTTGCAGGGATCTTCTGATAGACAAAAATAATCCATGCCTGTCGAGTCTTTGGATCCTTGGGAAGGCTTGTGAAAATTTCCCCTTTCTCCGTGCAGCCTGGAACACTGCATTTACGCCTGTGGTTCTGACTGCCTGCTTTGTTATTGTAGAAGTAAACCCAACTGTAGGATAAACAGCTAAACTGGTGTCTTACATCTACCTCTATTCATGCTCTTGGGCCA